TCTGTCTGAGAGTAAGGCTGTCCAAGCCCCTCATCCGTGGTTAAAGGGGATCTCTCAGGAACTTAATCTGACTAGATAGAGACTCTATAGGTGGGATTTGGGTTCCCACTGTCCTCCGAAACCTCCTACAAATCAGGTGTCCACGATTTAAGCTGTGATACTTTTCCCTTCATCATATTTGGATTTTGTTGCTGTCGTCGTCTTTGGACCACAAAAGCTGGTGTGCTTCTTCCATGTGGACTTAGAAGTGGCTCCTCTATCTTTATTTCCCAACATGCTGCTCCAGCATGACACCTCTTACTTTCCTTTCTGCCATTACAACCAAAGTAACCATCTAAGAACCAAAAGTTTCACCTCTCACATTCCTTCATTCTTTCTGTTCCTAGCCCAAGCTCCCATGCGTCTGGAGCCATTGGAACAAATCCTGCTTCGGATGCCAACTCTGAACATGGAATGCCAGAGACATCTGACTTCCCCTAACTTCACTAAGGGGAAGGAGAATCACGATCAACAGTCCAGCCTGCTTTGTGAGGTGGAGGTCAAACATATTGCCACCTTCCAACGTTTAAAACAAATTCTGATCCCAGTTGTGTCTTCCACAGCACTCTCTAACTCTTCTGTTGGTTTCAACAATTCATTGCAATGGCCACCCTTTACAGGGTTTCTTAGGGAACTAACAGGTTACAATTCAGAATCAGTTGTTCACCCAGGACAGCTTCTTCTCCACCTGTGCACAGGCAAGGCTCTCCCCTAGCCCTCCCCTTCCTGGCCCTGGGTCCCTCTACTCCTGTGTCTCTACTCCTTGTGCTGGCTTGGCCTCTGCCTTGCTCAGACAAATATTATAAAGCTCTTTAATTCCACTGCTAGGTGCCCACAGACCCCTTAACTCTACCAGCAAGCTTCCTGCCTCAAAATGCTCAGCTCTGTCATACAAGCAGCCTTCTGAGCTATGCTGACTCACTCTCCTGGATCTGTGGCCTCTACTGCTTCCTTTCTCTGCTACTGCTTGTTTCTAAAGTTACAACCTTCTGTCTCCTGGGCTAAGGAAGTTCTCAGCCCAGGGACCGCAAGTCCAAAGGATGTCCACCCCTTACGTCTCCTCTTCATTGTGATAGTGGTCTCCCATAGCCCTGCCCTGTGCTCTGGGACTAGTTCTCTTTTAAGCCTAGCAAGATGGCAAAATCAACCAATTCCTCATTAGGTTTTCATATACCCTGTTTTTCATGGATGCATCCATATAGGGGCTCCATGCACTTTATTTGCCTTATGAGCAAGGTCCCCAATTCCCTTTGAGAACTACAAGCATTTTATTTGTATACCCTCACCCAATCTCATAGGAGTTACAAACCATGGTAAGAAAAGCCATAGAAAAGCACCACATTAATTTGTACCATAACCATTGATCAAAACTAAGTATTCTATAAGCAACACCTCCCAGCCTCCTCCCTCCTGCCCTAGTAACCACGAAGAAACTCTGGTTTCTCTACTGAGAAATCTGTTCTTATCTTTTGATATAACTGATGTCATAAAATATTTTTACCTTTGTGATTGACTAATTTCACTCAGCAAAATGTCTTCGACCTCCATCCGTTGGGTAGCACATGCCAATACTTCATTTCTCTTACTGGTTTTATATTGTATGTATGAACCACATTTTATGTATCCATTCATCTGTTGATAGGCATTTAGGCTGCTTTCACCTTTTGACTACTCTAGAGAGTGCTGCGGTGCCACTGATACACAAGTCTCTAGTTGAGCTAGGCTTTCAAGTCTTTGGGGTGTAGATCGAGGAATGGAATTGCTGGGTCACATGGCAGTTATAGTTTTCATTTTTGGGGGGAATTCTCACTCTTTTTCACAATGTCTATGTCATTTTGCATTTTCAGCGATGATATATGTCACAATTTCCCTACACACTTGCCAACATTTGTTGTTTTCTATCTGTATATTTATTTTAACTTAGCCATCCTACTGGGAATGACATAGTATCTCATTGTGGTTTTGATTTACATCTCTCTGATTTGCATCCTCATTCTTCCGTGAAAAAGAGGAAGACCTTCAATGAGATGGCTTGATAATGACGTTGCAACAGGAAGACCTTCAATGAGAAGGCTTGATAATGACGGTTGCAACAATGGACACAAACATAGAAGTGATGGTGAGAACGGTGCAGGATGGAGCAATGCTTCTTTCTTTTGTACAACGGTTTGCTCTGAGTCAGAACTGACTTGCCAATATCTAAAGAAAACATTTTAGTGGAATTTTTGTTTAGGAACTGTCACCCTGTTTTTCACAATGACTGTAGTATTTTGCATCCCCACCAGCAATGAATAAGGGTTCCGAATTCCCCAGATGAACCCTTGCTTTGAAGGTTATCATACTGTTGCCATGTTGCCATGATGCTAGGGGCTATACCATCAATATTTCAAATACTAGCAGGGTCACTCATGATAGGCAGGTTTCAGTGGAGCGTCCAGAATAAGACAGATAAGGAAGGAGGAACTGTCATCTACAGTTCTGAAATGTTGTCCAGTGAAAACCTTAGGAATAGCAGCAGCACACTGTCAGATGCAGTGTCAGAAGATGGGCTACTCTGGTTGGAAGGCACTCAAAATACACCTGGGGAAGAGGTGCCTCCTCAAAATAGAGTTCAGCTTACTGATTTGGATGGAGTAGAGCTTTCAGGACCTTCATTTGCTGATAGGACAACTCAAACTGAGAGGCAGCAGTTGCAAACATCTAGTAATACTAAGGACATGGATATACAAAGTATGACTCTATGAACATTAAATCATCAAAAATGAAATGGAATCCACCAGTACCCTAGACTTGAATAGCAAAGGTCATTTTGAATTGGACAACCATATGGTCTTCTGTGGGAGGAATGACAAATTGAAGTGGAATGGCATTTCAGTCCTTGTCAAATAGAACATTCAAGATCTATCCTGAAGTAGAGTGCTGTACGCGAAAGAACCATTTTCATATACCTACAAGGAAAACCTGTTAATACAAGGCAGTCAGGGTGCAGTGTAGCAACGATTAAACATATAACTTTCCTCTGGTTCCTAAATGCTTCCTCCCCACCCACTATCATGATCCCAATTCTACCTTACATATCTGGCTACACCAGAGGATGTACACTGGTACAGAAAGGAACTGGAAAC